TGGGGGGGCAGCGATCGAAGGTAATGAACGTGGGGGCTCATTTCCTGCCTCCTAATCTGCTGCTCGGGTGCAGCATTGTCATGAAGAGCCCTTGGCGTGCAGGCTGCTGCATTTTGGGGCACCCTTTGATTTTTTTTAAGGTGCCGGTCCCGGTATTTCCACCTAGTTTCAGATTGATTTATAGCCTGCAGTCCCGAGTGGGGAAGACCCAGCGATGGCAAGTCGCTTATTTTCATTAGTTTTGGCTCAAAAGTAAGTTCATTAAAAAAAAAAAAGTTTCCCAGGAATTTGTGAATCGTCGTTTTAAAAATTGTTGTTTAAAAATGTCAGACAGATGAATATTTCTTAAAAATGATCAAATAATGGATGGACTTCTGTTGATTACTTCTCGAGCAGCCCAGTTGTGTGGGCATTACTTTTATTTTCAAGGAACTAACGTGTTAAATGTGGAGTTTGGCTTGGGCAGAGTTTACAGCATTGCTGTTGCAACTGCTTTGCTATCAATTATAAGCAGAGTGTCAAATCCGTGGGCAGTGGAAACCTCTTTTCAAATGCTATAACTGGTTATCCTGATGTGACATAGACAGATGAGAGAGTTTCCGTTGAGGGGAGTAAAAATATTTCCCTTTTTGGAGAAACAGTGTTTGGAGGAGAAAACCATGATTACGGCTCTCTCGAGCCGGAGAGACTCTTTTTCATGCTTTGTTTATACTCCGGGGATGACATTTAGGGCAGGGAAACGCAATCTTTCTCGGCAGCTTTTAATTGTGAGGTTATTAATTTAGTTTATTTATTCGTTTCCATTGGTTGGGTTCAGGGAGCCCTCCGCCACACGCTGTGCTTAAGGTGACACATTTGCTAGCACTTGGGACACATGATTGCGAATGTAAAATGTGCCTCCCCGAAAGGTCTGGTCGGCTGGGAGCTCCCATGTGGAGCTGGCGTAGGCAGGGCGCGACCGGCTCATTGAAGAAAAAGGGAATCATTTTCCCTAGCTAAGGAAGACATCCTGTTATATTCCTTTTGTTCCCTGTTCTTCATTGATCGCCAGCTCTGCCTTAGAGAGGAGAGGAGCTGGCGGGTGCGGAGCTCGGAAGACTGCCCAGACGACTGGGGCCCCACTTCTTCTCTTCCCCTGATTGGTCAGTAGGATTGAGACTTATGAAAACAGTCACCCAAAACCTTCTTTTAAAATCAAGCCGTCTTTTTCACCTTCGCCGTCTTGTGCTCAGATTTCTGCAAGATAGATGTTTAAGTCAGGCGCCGTTGGCTTGAGCTACCTGGATGTTTGATTTGTTGTTGTTTCTACCCAGATAAAGTAGGCCATTTTGGTGACAAATTTCTTTGGAGGCGTCAGCTACTAGCTTACGTTTATAGACGGATTGCTTTACAATACATTCCCAGTTATTTCAATCCGTAAGTTGTAGAGTGCAAAGTTGTTCAACGTAGAGGAATTTTTCCTGAACATTATTTTTGATGTATTTAAATCGCAAAGAGCCCTGGTGGCGCACTGGTTTAAGCGCTCGGCTGCTCCCCAAGAGGTCGATGGTTCGAACCCACCGGCCGCTCCGCCGGAGAAAGATGTGGCAGTCTGTTCCCCGTAAAGATTACAGTCTTGGAAACCCTGTGGCGCAGGTCTACTCTGTCCTGTAGGGTCACTGTAAGTCCAAATCTACTCCACGGCAACGGGGTTGGTTTTGGTTTATTTAAATATTACCATCGGCAGATGGATGCCTAACTGTATCATTACTTTGAGAACTGAAGTGGCTGGTGCATTAACATGTTCCACGCAATAAGTTTAAGTCTGAGACAGTGACGGAAAAGACAGTGACGGGCAACAATCACAATCAGCTTGTAGACTCTTCCAAGAAATTGTGGCATCTGGATTGAGGAGAAGGCATTTCGCATCCAAGAAAAAGGGCCTTTAAGAGTATGAAATAGTGACTACTGTGAAATGTTACAGCTAGAAGCAGAACATAAGGCCCCTGGACGTCTTCACGTGAGCCTTAAAGCCCCTCATTAAAGAAGCCCTGTCCCAGAAGTTGTTAAACGTATAAACACTTTTCTGATTGGCCCAGGAATTTAGACACAGGAAGTGGATGGTATCTAATAACTGAGGAGTGGAGACATGGTTGTCATGGAAACAGAGAAGAGTAACTCCACACCCCCAGCACACAGACACACACAGACACACACACACAACCCCGACCAGCACTTAGAACAACAACAACAACAGCCCTGCATGTCATCGCAGATCTTGGAGAACATGCTTTCTCTTTCCCACGGAATCTGTTGAAACCTGAGACGGTGCCTGTCAAATCAAGGTCACTTTACAACAACAACCCCAAATGCGCCGTCTCCTGCATTTCATAACTGTATTTTTATTGAAAGTATGCGACGAAAAAGCCTACAAGCAGGCATGGGCACACGCGCTAACTTAGCATGTTGCGACTTCTGACTTGTGCCAAGGGCAGGCTGAAAAGAATGTGCAGTCAAACTGATTTCTATGTCTGCTCTTGGAAGCCGAACTCCTTTTAGAGCCCCGAAGACTAGAATGTTATCTGCGGACGAAGAATTAGCTGGGGGAAGGTATAAGTGAAGCTGTTTTGTTTGCGAGAGTGTTCAAAGTTGGACTGAAGCAATTGAACTCGGAGCTGTGGGCATTTTGGAAGCCTGAGGCTCCCTATGCGGGCATAAATGAAGACTGTCTGGTGCTTTGGAAAGTGTCAGAGACGGTGTTCTCAGTAGCTGCAGGGGGAAAGGAAAAACCCCTAAATGGAAAGAAGAACGGTTTCAAAACTGCAGCTATTATTATTCAGTCAACTTAGAAAAGTTTCCCTTTCTTTTGTGGATGGGAAAGAATGCTTCAATGTTTAGAGTAAATTGAGAGGTTCTCCAAATTCCTGTTGCAAACATTTCCAGTATCTTGGGAATGGTTTTCAGTGAGGGCAGTAAAGAAAGGAGAGATTTGGAGACTCCGCCCCCCCTCCAACCCCACCCCCATTCACTTCGTTAAGTGAAAAATAACCATGGAGGCCCTCTCCTAAATTTTGACTTTGGTCATGGAAACTGAAGCTTGTAAATATAAAATTAAGGCATTTCTTATGCTTCTGTATCTTATCAATGGTACTCTTTACATTTTCCGTTCTTGATATTCATTTAGAAATATCTCCCTTCCAATCACGGTGATATTTATAGTATTGTAGTGCTTTATCTTAATTGAAAATAGCCAGTTTTAAGTCTTATTCAATTAACATGTCAATCTTTTGAAAAGCAGCAAATTTCCCTTGTTTCTTCAACGGATTCCATGGGTGGGGTGTGGAGGGAGGGC